AATAATATCGCTTTCTTCCTGTTACCAGGACTAAAAAGCAGATGAATCAAAAGTTGATCCAGGCCATATTGAGTTCCCCATCACACAGGAGACCATCAGTTCCTTAGCAGGAAAGTATAATTTGTATTTCTGCCAAGCAGACAAAGGGAAACCTACCTGAACATGTGGCTAGAAAAAGACTTTGTTGTATAAAGACATTTTTTATTTAATTTTCAATAGGTCCCAGCCATTCTGCATGGCCACAATTGTCTGAGTCATTTTAGTGCAATTTTTGTGCCAGTTCCTTGTGTCACTTACAATGAAAAAAAACCTCTATTCGTGCAATCGTGAACCTAATATTTCAGCCAAAGGCATAAGACTGGTGGCCCCACAATATCCTGTTCACCTCCAGTGGTTTGACATGAGTCATACTCGATTGACTATTCCCTAGCCTTTGTGTACTGTGGAAGCTATGGTGTGATGCTGAATTTTTAGAGCAATTAAAATAAAATATACACCATGCACCTCTACCCTTGATTCACAATGCACTTCAGTCTCAGGTCACTGATTCGAAATGGGCAGCTTCTGGAAAAAATCTTTACACACCCCAGACTTCACATTGTACTTTGTTTCTCCCTGTTGGTGTAGTATCAACATTTTTAATAGCAAATTATTAATATGCTGGGATTGGTTTAGGCTTTAAATAGAATTTTCAAGTCTGAAGAATGTAATTAATTAATTACCACAACAATGTAAAAGAACTAGGAACACAGTTAGCCTACATAAACCACAACACTGTTACTACCTGGTCCTTCTTACAGCTTTCATAATTCCTGCCCAAGCATATGCAGAAGAGCTCTGTCATACGTACCAAGGCATTTGATATCTCAAGTCAAGTCTACAGGATTTTGGAGAAGTAATGTCCTTTGACTGTTAGTGAGACCTATTTTCCACAGGCAATTTGAAAACTTCCACTATAAGAACCACTTTAAGGTTTTAAATTCAAAATACAGGCTATCACAGTTAGTTCAGATCATCAATTCAAAATAGTTAAGTTTCGCAATAAAGACCTACACCCTTAGAAAAAACTTATGTCCATCTGTTCTCAGTCTTATATCACAGATATTCATAAATTTCTGGGTAATTGCATAGACAATTCAGCAAAATGACTGAATTAATTTTTTTTAAATACTCATATTTTCAAACATACTAATTTCTTTAGAAATTGCTTTTTTTCCTCATTCTGTCCAATTGCAACTGGAGATGCTTACAGTTCACCAGGGACCTTTATAATTAAAAATGTAACAGCCTGAAATTATTTTCCATTACTCAATGCACCAATCGGTGGAGCAATACTGTTTATATTAGGCACTAGAAATTACTGTGATTACTTTTCTCTTTGCTTTCACGTGTGTCATTAAAAAAAACAAAAGGAAGTAAGACAGAAGAGCAGAGAAAGATTTCTGAAAGACCGTGGATGAAATATCACTGATTCTGGCATTCACCAGGAGCAAATTACAGAAATAAACACATACGAAAATTCAGTTTGTTCCACTTTGCTACCACCAAACTGGACACTTCTGAAAGCTGAACTAACAACCAAGAAATTTAAAAATTTGCAATAATTGTTGAAACAGGTACCTACTCTAATTGTTTTATAATCTAGGGAATAAGCAAAAGGAAATTATTGAAAAAATGAAACCAGACAGATGTGCAAAGAAGGTCATTAGCTGTGAAAACAGGAAACTGATATTGAAAGCTATAAGACAAATAGCTGCACAGATCTGCTCAGAAGAAGGATTTATGTATGTAGGAAGAATAACAATGGGAATTCCTTGAGGGTTTCATATTTCACTGTAGGTGTTAAAATAGTTAAAATACAGGAGCTCAAAAGCTGAGAGCTGATTTTGGTTTTACCTCAAAAGAAAAAAAAATCTCCCATTTCATCAAGGAGGAGAAACTTAGAATCTCTCTTCCTAATTTATAAAATTTTATATTATCATTTTCTCATTCATCCATCCTTTAAGACTATACCCAGGCAAACTTCTTTGCTTGCATTAAAAATCCAGGGAAAACCAGTGGCTTTTCTTTTAGATGTTCCAAGTTATTTTCCTAGATTAAGCATCATGCAGCATGGTTTGGAAATTTCTTTTGGACAATGAAGACTCTGCTCACATATCTTGCTATACAAATGATACATTTCAAAAGAGAAAACATACAGTCCTGATCATCAGAGGTATTTGGGTTTGAAGTGCAGATGTCGGACTCTACTAGATGACCACAATCCACACGGCTCAGGCAGTGGTAACCCACTACATGGGCAGTGGCAGTGGTAGTCCTCTATCACCCAAGGTGGACTCCAGCATGGGATTCTGCAACCTTCCCCCTTCCTCACCCATCCCTGTGATGTTCTCGGAAGCAGACATAAATGAAGATGTACCCCCACTTTCTATCTTAAGATGTCAAGACACAGTTAACGAAATGTTAAACAGCAAGGTAAAAGCACTGCAGAACACTGAGTAGTTTCTGAGCCTGAAGTTGATTATGATCAGAACGTACCCGACGAACCTTCTTTTCTTTTATGTAAAAGCCCAGTGAAAACTTCCTATGCTTCCTGTTTCATATCTTCTTCCTCAGAAATACATCATGAATGAACACAAAAATGACCTCAAGGCACATATTACTATGTTTTTCCCAGTAAGATATAAAAGAAGAAAAGAAAGAACATAGTCATTAAAAAAAACTAATAAAGATGCAACCTAATCAAAGGCACTGTTGGTTCATTGTCTATTACTTCTGCTTATGAGACCTAGAAGTAGACATGATTCAAAGCAATAGAAGCAGCACAATAGTAATAATAAATCACAGAAGCACAATGTCTTTGCTATGGACTACTCTACAATGCACAGTCAAATAGCAAGCAAAGAGAAAAATTCATCCTGCCATCCAAAAGTCTGCTCATGTATTACATGCATACACATCTATCAGTATAATTAGCAGAAAAGCTATGTAATTTTTTAATTTGTTTTAAATTGCAAGGAAATTAATTTTAAAATGTAAGTATTTCTCTATATAGACATACATATCTCTACCTATATAGAAATGTTTTTTCTAGATTATGTATCATTACATTAATATATTTAACCAGAGAATTGCATGCTCACGGAAGACTTCTTACACAGTTGAGGAAGTGGAAACTAAAATAAGTATTCTCCAATTTGAGTTTGGGGATTTTGTTAAAGATTTAGAAATTGAGAAATGAAAGATATTAACCCAAGACACAAACACGGCTAAGTTCTGTGTGACTCTCAGGAATTTTGCCATCGGTTTCATGAAAGTGTATGCGACACTAAGCAGATAACAGACTTAGCACATTTTTTACCTTGTTGGGGTGAAGATGTAAGACAGCAATGTCTAACTTGTTTTAGTTAGGCCCAGCCTAGCAGTCTGCTCACAGTGCACTTAATATACGCTGACACAAACTAGCCACAAACACCATTGCAGCTGCTCTTTTTTTTAAATCACGACTGGAGGAGCAGAAGCTGGCAGCCAGCCTACGTAAGTCCAGTGTTTAAAGCACTTGTTTGAAGAACAGAAAATCTAGATTTTTTTTCCTTTCTTCAAATCCTGTCAGCCACATCCCAGGAATAAACACCACTGATGGACAAGAACAATCAACTGTGGTGGGTGAAAAAAAAGGCACTATCCATGTCTCCTGTTGAATTTAAAAGCACTCTGCAAAAATGAATCAGGATTCACAGGGCCAGAAGGATTTGTTGGGGGTTATGGAGACCTGCGTTCTCATTCCTGTTCCCAGACCTATTTCTGTGTTAATATTTTTTAATCTAATAATGATTCAGCATCAAAACTAGAAAGAGTTCCAGAAAGCGAGGACCAAGCTCTGTTCTGTTTGCTGAAAGGAGCCAAGCTAATTTAATGTCCTTTTATAAGACAGACTCTCATCCACTGATCACTGAATTTTCTTTGCATTTGTTCCAGATTCAGTGAATCTTTCTTGAACGCAAGGGGCCTGTTCCAAATTCCAACTTTGTTTTACACTTCTGCTAGTTTGTTCGTTTTACCTCTCAGGAGAAAGGTTTCTCTCCGAGACTTAACAGACATTAGCCAAAACACCGGCAAAGCCCACCACAGCGCTCTGCTTCTAATTCATCCTGCTAGTGCAATGGAGCAGCTCTGCAACTCTCCAGCCAAGTTTTCTCCCTTTTGGTATCAGCATGTTATTATGAAGGCTACCATCACTAGCACATTCCTAAAACATCTTTACTTTTCTCCAGCAAATTCAGTGAATACCCATGTGCTTACAGTACCTACGCATCACTTTTCTCACTTTCACAGGAATCCATTATCCTGGACAATTCAACCCAGAATGAACTTCACTGCTCAGCTGGCTCCGGAACAGGTTTTGTAGTGCCAAAGACCAGCAATATGAGAAATCAATCTTGTAGAGGGGTTTCTCGAACAACAGGGCCACAAAGTATTATGGGAATATGTAGACAATCCAGAGTTTATAAACAGCGTGTCCTTGGTACACTGAAACAAGCAAGAAGATATGAGCTAAGGCAAAAATGTGCTGACCGCAAGTAGAAACTAAGATAGCTGTGTTCTTTGTTTTATATATCCAATCACTACTTGAGAATAAGCGCGTGGACAGTAAAGCTTAAACCAATGAAAAGTATTACAGGTGCCATCACTGTCTGAGAAGAAGTGCGTAGACAGTGTGTTAAGACCAATGAAATTATTGCTTGTGCTGCCTGAACCCTGCTTGTACTATAAGTATACCCATACTCGGGAATAAAAGTTGAAGCATTCACTACACTCCTATGGAGACCGTGTCTGCTTTCCGGAGTTCCCCTCTTCCCTGGTAGTCCAATCGATCTGGTCGCCCTGTTCAACACAATCTTGCCCAAAATGTCAAACAACAAATAAGTAGCAGGGAGTGATTGCATCGTTACTTAACAATTGAAAATTGAAAGTGTGGTGAACGTGACCATTGTTCTCACCTTCCTCTCGGTAAGTCTGCATCATCTTTCTTCCACCGGACTGTGGGTGTGGGATCCCCCTGCACCTGGCACCGGAAATCCACGGCCTCCTCCTCCAGCACCACTTGGTTAATCGGTCGCCTGAGAAACGTGGGCCGTTCTTGAAAGAGACATTAAAATTCCTTAGTGAGTCAGAGGGTTGAAATGAACACTTTTGACTTTTCAGCATCTTTTTGTTTACCGATTCACAGAACGAAGAAAGGAGGCTGAGCTCCACAAATTCAGACAAACGGAACTGATGATGTACATAAAGAGCCCAGAAGATGACTGTCAGGCTGGAGAGGCGGTGGCTGTCACATCCGTCCCTCACGCAAGAGTTGAGTGCCACCAGGAGGAAGCCACTGGCTGCCCAGCTGCCATGCCGGCGGAGCAGGCTCCAAGACCATGCCCTTCCGTGTGAACATTTTGGCTCTGCATCGCTGCATACACAGAGTGTGATCTAAAAGCTCCCGCCTGCTCTAGTGATATAGGAGCTGCCAAAGGAGGTAGCCTGCCTTTGGCAATAATCAATAACTTGATGCTTTGGAGGAAAATGTAAACTCCCTGTTATGCATCTCAGGCAACTGCGGATTATTGTACAGAGGTCAGAGCTTCCCTGATCCCCATTGCTAACTTCACCATGGAAAACTAAATTAAGGTCTGAATAATAAGTTCTGTTTACCCTTGTTATGTTAGCCTGCACGGCTACAAATATTATTAATCATCATAATGTTGTACAGGCCTGCTTAAAATCCAGATGCAGAGCCACAATCTGATCTCAGTTATACTGGTACAAACTCAAAGTACCGGTAATTTCATTTGAAAGGATGTCACTGGGGTTAGTTTCCAAGTTGCCTTTGGACTGCATAAATTTTGTTCTGTCCGCTCCTAGCCATACCACACTTTCATTGTCATAAATTATTTATGCTAGAGTCAAACCATTATAAGACTGGGTTTATAAGAAGCAGTATTTCCACTCAAGACAGGGATTTATTATAAAGACATTTAAAACTGGTTACACACGTTTTGCATTTTATTCTCAGCAAATTGAAGGGTATGATGTCACTTAAAAAATTATTCAAAATTCACACAGATGTAAGCAATAGCAGATTCTGTCTCAGGGAGTTCATCTACTACAGCTCTACTACAGAGCTGAGTTTGTGGGTTGGCTGTCCATGTTTATTATATGCAAATTTAAAACAAAACCCCAAAATGTTAAAAGTACATTAATAAGGTTGCAAAATTAAGCACGCAGCACCTCAGTGCCAGAAGCGCCAGAACTAAGGCTGTCTTCACGCCCTTTAATCACTCCCTTTTTGTTTATGCCCTATGGGACTGTTTGCAATTACATGATCACATACTATTTTTTCCCCATACTTCTCCATATTGTTGGTATTCATTTAATGAACAGGTGTTTAATATTTTGCTTTAGTTGTACCATTTAGTGGGTGGCCTCCTGTCATACTACTCAAACTTCACTTCAAAGACGAATTATTAATTTCCTCATGACCTCCATTACACCCATCTTAATGCTTCATAAACAATTCACTTATTTTCATAGCTCCTTTTGAAAGTGTGATGGAGATCTAAGAAAGCAAGGTAAAAAATATCTGCTAAATTTTGATGCTCAACCTGAGACACAAAACTGCCAATTTTTTTTTTATTTAGCATTAATTTTCTGTGTTCAAAGCTTAGCTTCCATTGAATTAAGTTGAAGCCAATCAAATGTTCACCACTTCTACAAATCAGAATATTAAATCAGAAAATAAGGAACACAAAACCACCTGTTAATAATTATGTAAATGAATGACAGCATCACATAAGAATTCCATGATATTAGCAGGGGGACCTACTGGCAGGGAAAGACATATTTTGTCAGCAGGAGAATAGACACGCTCAAGTATCTATAGCACTTTTCCAGATGCTACAGATAAAAACATGTATAATGGGCAGAGATTCTTCTCCCAAGCCATTGCTTTTGTCCCATTCCTTGTCCTGACCAGGACCTGCAAGTTCCAGCAGTGTTTGGGCAAGTAAATTCAGCTCCAATCTCTCCCCACACATTGAAATCTCAGTCTACTCCCTGTTTCAATTCTGTGTACCAGTCACACATAACCTTCACTACAGCTCCTTGTCCTGAGTGTGCTTCATCAGATTTTTCCTTCCCTGTGCGTGCAGTCTCCTGACCCTTCCCCATCTCCAGGGAGGTTTGCTCCTACCCTCACCCTCTATGTCCTGGCCAGTCTGTGACAGTGGCTCAAGTCCCTCAGCGTTCCAGCCACTGCCTGGGCCAGCTCGTTCCAGCTGCAGACCGCTTCCTTAGCCGATTTTCCTCCTCCTAGCTCAGAATATTGCTGCTCACAGCTGGAACTCAGCAAGTGCCCAAGTCCAGTCTCCCTGCCTCTCACCTCTTTGTACCTCACGGCAAACTGACTCTTCTCCACCATGTGTTTGAACTTGTTGGACTTGTTGATTTTAAAGGTCTTTTTGACCCTAAACGATTCTATGTTTCTACACTTGAACTGGAGCTTCTTTTCTCTCTGCCACCCAGATACAGCCCATCCACAATATTAACACAAGAAAAATCGGCTAAAGTAACCAAGTATCATCCCAGGAGACTAGCAGTGCCAAACTGCAGTTGCAAGAAAATGCTGTTCAGATCTGCATTCCACCTAGTGTCTTTAGTGTATGAATTGATGATTTATTTTTTTTAGAGAGGTGCATAATTGGCTAAATTTGGTGAAAATTATTTGGACAAGCAAAAAATTACACTTCTGGCATAACTTAGCTATTCCCCATGAAATTTTATGTCGCTGTTATTCAATGAGGGACCTGCATTTCTCAGGACAAAAAGCTTCCTCCATCCCTCTCCTTCAAATCCTTTCCCATCTCCCTCCATCTACGCCTTTCACCTCCAAACTGCAGGAACGCCAACATTCTTAGAGAAGAATGAATTATTTTGGCAGTTTAAAAAAAAACAAACAGTTGAAGCAGAGGTTAGGCATGGAAAATTTTGGATAAAGCTTTTTGGTCCGACAAACTTATTAAAACTGGACAAAGTAACAAAAGCATTAGTTGTTAACCTTAATCCTAAGCAATGCGTTTGGCCTGTGTGTTAATTGTGAGGATCTAGAAGGGAATATCTTAATGAAACTTTCTGTAAGTTGCAACAGTATCTTATTCATGACTTCTCTCTTAAGAAGAGCTCAGACCAACCCCTGCTCTGAGCTCATACATGATACGCTCTACATTTTGGTATTTGCTTTTCAAAAGATGATCCTAAACCAAGAAGTTTAGATCCACATTAGCATCATCATAGGTGATTTAGAGATCCTTGAATTTAAATAACTCTGCGTGTGCCTGTATGTTGGCTTGCTCTGCATACAAAAATTATTTTAGACCGTGTTTATAAAAGCTGCCTGTAAACAGCTAAAAAACTAATGTATGTGTATTTATGAAATTGCTACCTGTGGCTGTAAATGCCTCTCATACAGGAGATGAGAAAGTAAATTCCCATCACCTTTTGAGAAGAACCCAGCTGACAAGACAGTAAATGGCCCAGAGGTCATTAGGTAAATCACTTGATTCCACATCAAGGCAATTTAGGAGTATACATACATGTTTGTTTCAGAACAGCTTCTAAAAGTCATGTATTTTCCAAAACAGTTTAGAATTTGCTAGAAGATAAATAGCTATGCAAGTACAGATCCCAGTTAGCAAGGATGTGCAAATACCAATAACTGCTATTTCCATCATCTCTGCATTTTGCACAGTGAGAATCAGGAAAGAACAAGTTATCGCTCATGTTGTTTCCTGTATTTGTATTGCTCAGACAGCCCCTTGAATACATCCAATACCTAATTATACAGCTATAAAGTGATCAGAGTGAATGCCGTTGCCAATGCAATTAACATTCTTTATGAGAGATTAACTGGATTTGAGTCACCTGCATAACTTGCTTACAATGTTAATCTCTCAGGAGACAAGAGAGCTGCTTGCTCAAGCATGTTAAATAAAGAGGGTTTCTTCACACAGCCAGGTCAAATTTAGTTTCAGAGCTAAATTTGAGAAAGAATCTTTTTATTTTTGTCTTCTGACATGTATTGCCCATAAACAAAGCCTTGTGGAATAATTAAACATTGTTACTTTGTCAACAGCATTCAGAACACAATGTATTTGAGAAAAAACAAGAAAAGGTAATAAATTAAAATCATAGATGTATATAAAAATTTTAATATAGCTATTTTATAAGCTTTCACTGAGTAAATAAAGTACCCACTTCCCATACTTTCTCTGATGAATATTAAAAATCTTTGAAGATAACTATAAAATAGGTCACGGTTATATGTCATGTCAACCAGTCGTGCTATTACTAGGGTGACCTTTATAACTTCAGAATAAACTTTGCTTGCAGTTATAAAAAAGCATTGTTAATGCAATCTGGACACACACCTACAATCTGTTGCAGTGCTTGAGATATGCACAGCAAGAAAACCAGCAGAACTGATCCTAACCAGAAACATAGGAAAATCCTTTCCTTGCTTTGGGTGCTGACACAAGTTAACCCCAGAACTCAATTTTTCCTCTATTTAACAATTGGTCTGAGTATCATGGTCTATTAGAGAGACTCTGATGACCTTCAGATGTATTATTGCCCTTTCTCTGTTCCTCAAAAAGTTAGGCAGCCATATATAGGACCTCAATCTAATTAAAATGATCCTAACTACTTTAATAAATTTTCTCTGCTCAGGCAACTGCTAGAGTGAAGGATTGGATGGCCCCTATAATGTAGAGGCTCAATCTGATTTAAAACTGTTTTCTCTGCCTTTGCCGGAGAGAAGGCATATTTTTTTTAAACTGTTTTCATGTTCTACGAAGAAGTATTAAAACACAAATTAAAAGACTTTGGGGAGGGATTTAACAGCAAATAGTTTAAAAAATAGAAGCTTTTTTCACTTTAGCATTCTGATGTAAAGGAAAAAAAAACATTAGGTGGCTGAAAGTTAGTTTCACTACAGAATGCTGTCAGCAGCGTAGCTATTTCATTAACTGCAACATGATCTGGATAAAGTAAAGCTCCCTGACAAAAATGAAGATGTGTAAGAAGGCAGGATATTAGGATCACACTAAATTTACCTATGTTGGCCAAATAAATGAAAATGCAATTGCAAAAGCAGAAGGTTTTATATATGAAGACATTCTTCTACTGCCTCTTTTCAGGCACCTTTCCATTTTCATTTGAGAAATAAGCACTTGTGTAGACGTTGCAAACTTCTATACTCTAAGCAGTACCCAAGATGCGGTGAGCTTGCACAGTAAATGCACGGAGCACTGTTAAGAGGCACATGCAGATAAAGTAGAATGATTTTTACCAACTGCTAGTGTTTTTCTCCTTTTATATACATCTACAACCGTATTAATTTCAGTTTCTACTGACCATTAGCTATGGACTTTGGAGACCAAATCAGATCCTTTTTCACAGCAGTAACATTATCTTATTACAACTTGTCAGTATTTGTGGATAACAAATATTGCAAAGCCAAACTGGCTCTTTGCAAACTGCCACAAGTACACTGCAAGTGGGAAACACCAGGATTTGAAGAAAAACAGGAGGAACTTTGCTCTGAAGGACGAAATACACACTGCCAATTTCTCTGACTCAAACTGTGAAACTATACCCGATTTTGGTAGGTTTTCCAATGTGTCTGGGAAAGCCTCCGAGACTAATTTCTAGGATATGATGGAACAAGACTCTCTGCTAAGGCCTTCCACACAGTCAGAGCTCAGGAAAGGAAAATGGGGCACAATGTCTTCATTAAGGGGTTTGGGGATTTTTTTCTTCTAACATCATGTCATCATAGTATACTCTTTCTGGACCTGTGGTATCTCTTTCAGCTTGACAATGTCTAGAGAACATCAAACACAAATACTTCCTCAAGCATCAGACAAAAATACCTCTTCATCCCACAGGACCTTATTAGCTGAAAAAAGGCTCAGGTACCAAAGCCAGAATCAAAGATTAATCCAAAACAATCTTTAATATGTCTGAATTGACATATCTTTTAAGACATTTTTGTACTCTTCTTAGTTATGTTTTATATTCTTCTGAGGCTCTTCTAAATATATCTTTTTCCATTGCTTGATGCCAGCCTCTTGAAGTTGATATATTAAGGCTTTCATTGATTTCACTGAGCTTCAGAATCAATACACAAGATATACCTTTGTACATTCTCTTCAAACATACCATTTTAAGTCCAAAGGAACAAAAAGGAGTCTGAAATAGTTAAAACAACTTGAAAACTTATCTGAGAACAGTGCAGTGGTATGACAAAATGATAAAAGGTTTAATTAAACAGTAATTCTTACTTTATTTAATTTCTGGCTCCATATTATGTATTTACAAACCAAGCTTTCTTACAAATTGGAATGAAACTGTTTCTGGTTTGCATCTTGCTTTAAGTCTGTTCAGCCAAAGGCTATGAGCAAACACAAGCAAAGCAGCCTAATTTGTATCACTTACACTTCTGAATTTGGCCTTTAGAATAGTGCGTCCATAATACTAAAGTACCATGCTGCCTCTTTTTGTGAATGTTAGGATTGATGGATTAGTTATTAAATTTCTTTAAAGGCCAACTTAGACTCTGCGACAGACCCTGCCTTCTTGCTTTACTCCAAGATTATACCTTGTAGCCTCATAAAGACAAAAACTAGCAGTAGTGCTTGAAAGAGAAGACTAACAAAATGTAACGCATCATTGTCACCATTCAAAACACAGGAATAATTTTGGGAAGCACTGCTTACATAATCAGTCTGCTTTAATATATTTTACTGTGAAAGTTTGGCAATTTTCCGCTAGCAGAAGTATCATGTCTGGGAAACAAAAGAAATGCAATCTGCACCAACACAAACAGTATGCTGTTAGCAGTGCCCAAATGTTGAAAACTAGGTTTCCTATGCAGGCCGGGTTGAAAAAAAAATTACTTGTTTTGTGAAAGTTCTACAGGTGTTATCTGCAAATATCTCTCAGCAAAGGTTATTGAATGGGGACCCAGCCAAGTGGATACATTCTGCATATGGGAAACTTTCATTTTCTCCTCCAACTTCTTTCCAAAGTTCTTATTGCCCATTTTATGTTTTTAAGCTCAGGAAAGGTGTAATCCTTTAGGCTAGGCTTCCATGCTGTTCCCTTCGGGCCACCAGTTACCACCACACTGACTCAGTTTTTCCAGAGGCAATGCCTCAAGCTAAATTTACTGTACAGAGAGCCAGAGATCTGTCACAAGCCACATGCAGAAATTAAGGTCAGGTATTACAGAAAAACTTGCAAAGCCAAAAGTAACAAGTGGCTGATTCCTGGAAAGGTTTGAGAACTAGTATGAGGCAGTTCCTTTTCCTACAGAGAAGTGTGTTTACTAAGGCCCCCTTCACACTATGGAAGGGGTTTGGGGGTTTGTTATTTGGCAAAGGAATAGAGACATTAATAATCAGCTAATTAATACACATTTCTCTCCAGAATCAGCACCAGCTGTAGGCTTGCCAGCCACGTTGTTAAATTCTCTAAGTCTCTTAGCTAAGATATCTTCATTTTTATTATAAAGCCCTTTTTCAAATATATTCAAAATAGTTAAAGTTGGGCACATGAATATTATATAAGTATTATGATGGTTTTAGCATATTTTTCTCAACATTTGCACAATTCCCATGTTCCTCAAAACTGTGAGTTGTATTAGAGGAAGGCTGTGGACTTAACAGATGACCCGTGGTTTTGCCTGTGTTCAGTAAAGTCAATCTGAACATGCACAGCCAATCTGACGTTTCCCAGAGTTGCTGGATTTATTGGATTTATTGTGCATGCTTAGACTGATTGGACTGTCCAGTAGATACATTGCTTCCTGGAAACATCATGGATAATGCTCTCCAGTGCACTGTGCACGCACCCACCCACACACGAGCTGCTGCCTGGAGTTCAGGAACAGAATACTACTGCTCTGGTGGTGGAAGGCAAAGCCAAGCCACCTTCTTTTGTACGGAGCAGACCAGAACTAACCTGGACACCTCTACACCGTGAGCCCAATACACCAACAGATAGCTTCAGGGCCAAGTGGCAGCCAGGAAATGGGGCCCAGGATAGTCCAATCCTCTTGTCAAACAGCAGACGGTAACCTGAGGGCCTGCTTTCTGCATGCTATTCTTGTACAGGAAAGAGGAAGATAGGAAGGGAATACCTAGACAGAAGGGGAATTTTAGATAGGAAGATACCCAGATAGGAAAGGAATTTCAAACACAATTTTCTTTAGGTGGTCTAACACAGTTATGAAGAATTAAAAAACCTAATTTCATTTATTGCTGATTTTATTCAGTATTCAAAAAATAGGCTTAGACTGTATTTTATGAATTGATTGCTATGGTTAAGTCCTGTAAAAAAAAAAAAAATCAGAATATTCTAATTGGCCATGTAACATTTTACATACCAAGACAAACCCAATACTTTTCGTAGCTTGGCAGGATATGAAATTACATGCATATTTCAGTTTTATTCCTACAGTTCAATGCTTCTTAACAAATTATTTTCTTAAGGATTTCTTAAAGCTTTGTAGTTTAGGACTGCAATCTGCTTGCTATCCACAGGGAGTATCACTAGAGATTATCAGTACTTAAACTGATGAAGAAGATATGTCATGTCTCTTTTACATCTGTATAAAGGCACAACCTCAACAGATCAGCTGCAAAGGACATAATAATTTGATAGAGATCCTTCCTGTGTTATTTTGCAAGGTGTACCAGTTCTGTCTTTAGAAGTCATATGCTTCCACGAATCCACAACAAACTAAGAGGAGTGGAAGCCTTTACAGTCTTCTAATGCTGGAAAGCAGCAAATCCTCAGTCACTCATGGATCTTGTCTAGCAGAAACTTGTCTATGCCTTTTGTGAATCCCATAATATGGTTTTTTTTTTTTAAAGTGAACAGACCAATGTTGAATTGCATATACATGCAAACACAGATGGCAACATGTGTGACTGGGTTTTCCAGTGCACCGTGTTAGGCAGAAGGTGAAAACATTAGGAGCACCTGCTTCAGAAAGGACCTTAGGATTTCTATGAAAACTCTTACTGGAATTACAAGCAGTCTTGTTTGGAATTTCAGTATTGTATCAAGGATATCAAAGATGTACAGCAGGAGGGAAAATTAACACTATTTTTCTTTCCTTTTTATATGCACGTGTTTTCTTTAGCAGTGCGTGAGGGTTTTTTTCCTTATTGATTTTCTTTTGTTTGCTCAAAGATCTCTTGACTAATTCCTATGAAACCACAGCCAACAGTAAATAGAAGTGTCATGACGGCAGGATGTACCACAGCAGGATTTTATGGCTTTGCTTCTTGTCAGTTGTTAGCAGGATGGATCCAGCTCTAGGTTCAGTATTACTCTGCCTCTAAACCCTAACCATAGGGCAAATATTCCTAACAACTTCTTGCCTTGCCTATCAGGTCTTGGGATTTTCTCCAATGACTTTTTACTGATCAATTGAGCTCTTTTGTGCACTCCTACAAAAGTTTGATTTCACAACCCCACAGGAATAAGGAATTATTTAAATAGGCAACGCTGATCCAAATCTCTGTTAAGCAGCAATTGCCAACTATATGAGAAGTAGCTTAATTACATTTGGCAGCTTTGTGAGGGAGAGCATTATATCCTGCAGTACCACCTCTGAGTGTATGCATATCACTATGGACCTCCAATTAGATTGAGACTATGCGCTTAGAAGGAAAATGTTGAGCCATCACAGTTCCATAATTATAAATTGCAGCCTTTGAAACCTCATCTTCAGAAACTGTGAAATGCAGCTTCAGCAGTGCTACTGTGTTCTGTTAACCTTGTTTTGTCTCATATTTTGATGAGTCACCCAGGTCAGTTCAGTCTATAACATCTGTAGCGAAAAGGAAACACAAAAAAAGTTTGAGTTGCTTTACCAAAGACAGTCAGCTCTGCTGGATCACTGTCTCGCTCCCCCACCATGTTGGTTCCAACACAAGTGTACATGCCAGCATCACTTTTTCTTGTATTGGAGATCATCAGCTTCCCACCACGTATCTGTTTCAAAACAAGGAATATATTTTTAACTTCAGATAAACAGAAGATATCAGGAAAAAAAGCTACCTTCTTAGGCAGCAAGTTCCACAACAAAGGGATTTTAAAGTTTTGTTTGTAAATATATGTAGCTTTAAAATTAGAATTCTATATGCTTAAATATCTTTAAGCTGTGTTTAGATATGTTGTAGAACACATTTTATCCTACTGACTGATTTTAACTGAATTTCAGTTTTTCCTTTGGTTTTCATTAGATGTTCTACATTTCAAAGATTACATTTCTTGCTGCCTCTTTGGCAATGCAGAATGCTTGTATTTCTTGCATGATGATATATGTAAAGCACTCTTGACATCTCTCTTAAGAATAAGGCAATTTTACTTAGTTTTCTTTAGTTAATTTTATTTTACTGGTGTCCGAACAGTTTCCTTGATCACTGATTAGATTTTCTCTTTTCAATGATGCAAACGACTGAATCTAGCCCACACTGAGAATTCACCTGACTCCAATAAGACTTCACATTTTCCTAGCTACAAAGGGTGCTTATAAGAGTGAAAGAGAAGGGCAGTTGAAAGAAATAAAATAACAAATTTGCAGCTTGTGAAGTCACAGACAGTGTCAAAAGTTAGACAAAGGGGTGCTTCGGAATAAGCTAGGAATATAGCCAAAGAAACTTGAGAGTCAGGGAATGATGACCAGTTGCCTGCCACTCTTCCTTCCTCTGCTCTTAAGTAGACCTTAGCAGAGACAGCCTGGCCCACATATAGCAACTACTTTGGTTGTTTAGCTTGAAATACCTTTTAGACGTCTAAAGCATGACAAATAAGCTTCCTAACAGTACTTCAATATTGAATACAGTCAGCACTGAATGAGTTACATACAACATAAAACTTTATTGAAGAAATACTAATAGTGAAAAGCTAAGCATTTAAAAATTAGGAATGAAATATGTCCCCATATCCCATTTGCTTGCATATACCATGATATAATTTCTAATCACTTGATAAATTAGGTTTTTCTGCTAAATCCTTTTTCATTCAGTACATGGAATGAACTGTCACAGAATTCAACCAGTGTTACTCATTTACTCAATATGTATTCCTATTCAGGAACAATTGTTCCTTGAGTATAACTTCAGCTTTCATCTAGAATACACATATCGATTACTACACTAAAACCAACATTACTAATATCAACCTAAGCTGTTGTTTTTTCCCATGGAGTATTTGTATACCTCATGGATATGACTGATTTTATCTTTAAAACGCCTCTCTGATATAAGGTTTGATATTCTCATCTCACTGAACTGAGATCTCATTCATTTCAGTGAAATGAGATCTAGAATAGGTACGGTCAAATTGGTCAAAGATATCTACTGAGTCTCACATCTAACAGAGCACCTTACATGACAAAATCTACCACTGTAATGGACCTCTGTTACACAAATCAAGCCTCAAGAAGTTCAAGTTAGAGACATAAACCAGAAGGAATAAACAACCCTCCCCCCTCATTTGGGAAAGTTCAGAGAGGCAAACTGCCAAGAGTAATGACGAGTCTCAACAGGAAAGGCTTTAAAGCTGTGTTTCTGCTGAACTCCGCTGTGGGGCTTCAGTGCAGGCCCTGTGTCTATAAGCAAGCACTTGCATTGTACTCATACTCACACTGATCTGCTCTTCCCTGTCATCGATACGGACTTTATCCTTCTTCCAGTAGATGGTAGGCTCAGGGTGTCCACGAGGTGGCTGGCACTCCAATATGGCAGGCTCTCCAGCTGCCACCACAACATCTGTAGGATTTTGGCGGAAGTCATCCCGTAGCACTAATGCAATAAATGAGGGAAAGAAGAAAAAAAATTACTAGAAGTGATGACATTGTAAGTGGGGAAAAAAAAATACTTGCTGATACCTATAACAGTAAACAAACAAACAAAAAAGTCTCAACTGTTATTAGGTGATGACTTTGCATCTTATATTTACTATAAAAATTTTCATAAAAGAATGTGGTGAGGCATAACATTTTGTCCAATGGAGACAGATTTAACACACCTGGGTTTTTTTTTCCCCTTGTTTTTTCTCCAGATAAGAACACTGCTCTGCATTTACATTAGAAAAACCTGTAGCACGCATTACTCTCTTTAACTGACAGGGTCACTTCCCATCTTTGCAAAAGTAGCATTGCAGGTCTGATGTTGAGTTCTTTTCACAGCAGAAAATGACATGCTGAATATCTGGCTTGCCTGGATCTCCTATTACAGCATAAGCTAGGTAAAGAAGTGACACAACTGATACCAAATTGCAGAGTTACAGTTTGATGAAGTATATTGTTATTATTACTATTATTATTGTTATCACCAAATACATGCCGAAGTGATCACTAGTCCTGAAAGGTGCCAGAGAAATCAAGCTGTTGGCAGTGTGCTTCCAGCATATTTATTTCTTCTTTTTATTTATTTTTAATTTCAATATTTCTGTAACTTTGGCCAGTGCTGTCCCACAACATTGAAAGGAAAGAGTATTTAAATCACCAAGCTGTTTGAAAAATAAATTAGGCAACACAGGCCAGCTTTTTGTGTAAATCAAGGTTCTATAAAGGAGGATTGGGTCCAACTAGCTGGCTTCAGTGTGTTAAAATGATATCCACTTCATTGTTATTCTTCCACGTGCGTCCTAGTCTCCAGGTTAATTGACATTCTTCTAAACATAAAACTGAAAATAGCTCTAGATGAGCTACTGAAATAGAATTTAGGGCATTTCCCCTCCTTGAATTTCAGCTATGTATGGCTTTCATTACAGCTTTAAAACAGTTCTCGCCCTTAATGGAACCAGGGCCCTCTGAGAAATTAGAAAACACTGTATCCTAGTGAAGGGGCAAGTCAGGAAGAGTTCAGCAGAAATTGCTCAGTCTCATTTCATAAGCAGAGATAATTTACTGCTTTCAATGTTAATAAAATGTGCCCCATTTTAACATTTGGAACTGAATATTTTTCTGTTCTGTAATAAGCCAGAAGAAAATATGATTAATGCTTACAAGAATCGGTCTCTGAATGGGCTGAGGTGAGCAAGCTTGTATATATGTGGCACTCAAAATGACAGATGAGGTAACTTCCATTGTTCCCCATTTTGGGATATACAGGTAGATCCCAGAGGAAGGAGGGAATTAATTGGAAGTTAATTCCTTTTCTAACACACACAAAAAAGACTGATTATTTAGGTCTTGCTCTTGAAGCATAAAATAAAAGTGACAGGACGCAGTTGGCAACAAATGCAACTCTGGCAAGAACCCCTATTCTTCTTAGGTTACACACCCAACTGATACATTTTTTCCAACAGACAACTTAACAAAAGACTCAACCCCCGATTATTTCTGATTAATACAAATCACTCATGCAGTTTTGATTCACAATAATCAAATTAACAGAAATGGAATTTATAGAGCTTCGAGATCAAATGGAAGAAATAACTTACGTAATGCCCAACACAAAAACAGTACGCAGAAGATTATGGGCTGCTGACTATTTGGCATTACAACATTTTGCAAAGCCAAGAAAGCTAATACCACAGCAATTTCAGGGAAAGAACCAGAAAAAAAAAAAAAGTCTTAAGAAATCACCTCTTTTAGAAACATCTTCCTGTGTTTCTGTGATCACTATGATACACAGAAAGAAAAATTACTCTTCGGCAATGCTATGCCCTCTTTCATATAACTGACAAATGGATAAACATCAACTTCTTTCATTATTATTACACACAAGCTAAATATTAATTTTATTGGCTTGATTCTTTGTATAATTACAGAACTTCTGGGCAAATCCATTAGTGGAAAATCCCCAGAAAATCAGCAGATCCCACAACATAATGACTTTATACTCCCAACTCCTAACTCCTGGCAGCAATATTAAGGAAAGCATTTTCCTTGAACATTTCACATTGCTATACGAGGCTGACAAATACAGTTTCTTGGGGTGATACACAGCAAATTACATTAACTTTCTCTGATTCATCCCAGCAACTGTGTAAGGTTCCAATCAGCCTCAGAATATGAGGCTAAGAGGTGATTTGATTTTATCACATTCCTTTACCCAAGTCTTACTGCAAATCTGGCTTGAATGGAAGACAAAATTGATGCTACACGGTTTACTTAATCTTGCTCTGCACCTCAGCACATATACGAATCTTGAATACACGTATCTCACTATTTCCATCTAAAGCATACTGAGTTTTGGAGGAAAACAAAAAATGATTGGAGTAAAATGAAATAGGGAAAAAATAAAGCATGGACAGAAAGATAAAGATAGAAGAAAAATATGTGGAATATAAATTAAAGAGAGAAAACAACTCAGAGAGCAAGAGAGGGAACACTGTAAGTTTAGGGAGAATGAAAACAAAAAAACAGGTAAAGTAAGGAAAGAATAAGAATAAAAGCACAGAGAAAAACAAGGTAAAGAGCAGATGGCATGGGCTGCCACTCCTGTGATTCAGTGCTTTTAATGCAATATAAGAATGACAATACAAAGCACAGACGTTAATCTGATCAGCACAGCCATCCCAGCACATCCAAACATCACCCTCAGAGAGAGAAGAAGCAGGGAAGAGGAAGGGCGCATGAAGGAGACCAGAGCAGGAGCTGGTGAGCTCGGCTGTCCTGCTCCAGTGCCACAGGCCACAGAAGAGAGAAGCATCAACTGGAAGTTGAGTTCGTGCTTATTAGCACAGTAAAAGGAAAAGCTGCAGCACAGCTTAGTGCATTCACCATATCTAATAGCACAATCATCTGTGAAAACAGAAAAGTGGTTGAGAGCTGCAAGGATATTCCTCAGCCAATTATCCACAACTGCTGGGTACTTCTAAATAACTATTAGTGAGCCTGAGCAGATCACCCTCTCCACACACTGGCAAGAGGCTTTTGTTCACTCAAGAAGCCAGCCCTTCTCAGGGCCTTCTTGGCAGGACACAAATACTAGCGTTTTAAAAATTCAACACAAGTGGTGAAATGTTGCCATCAGGCTCCTCTCTTCTTCATCCCGTATTCTTCATTTGGTTTATTCTAATTTTAACATAAGGTCCGCAGCTCTCTTTGTGCTTGCCATGGGTGTTACCCTACATTTAACATGGGATGCCAAAGACAACGATCGCTGACATCCCGCCCCGCGTGCCCACGCTGGTACCGCAGTGCAGCTGGTCTCCTCGGAGAGCAGGACGCCGGAGGTTGCTGAGCAGCCCCAACAGCAGTGACGGCGATGAAGGGGGGAGCTGCTCCCCTCTGCCAGCCCGACGGGCAGCACAAACATCCTCATGTTTCGAGAGGCAAAGCCTCGAAAGGGCAAAACCTTCCGGATGGCTACACCTCGCTGTCTGGAAAGGCACCGGGGGACTGGAGAGTTGGAAAGGACAGCTAAACCATACGCACAGCCTACAACGGTGCTGTAGACAAAAGTTAAAGTTTGATTGGCCTCTTTGTAGCTTGAATAAGCTGATGCTGCTCAAACAAGATAGATGTCTGGGAGCTGTCGCGTCGGTCTTTAAGGCATGCAAAGTCCTGCACGGCCATTTATAGGTACCCACGAGCGCAATCACGGAAAGCAAGCACATCTAGGGGTGGCAGCGCTGAGATAAACACTCGCAGGCCACGCACCTGCCAGAGTGAGGGAGAAAGAAGAAAAAAAGAAGTCCCTGCTACCAAGGCAACTGCTCACCAGCACCTGCCAGCTTAGGCCCAAATCCAGCCCTTGGTCAAACTGATGCTCATAAACTCAGGGAATTACATGGAAACTGAATTAATTTCCTCAACCAAGGCTCCAGCAATTTGTTTAAAGGAGGAGGAGATAAAGCCACAACGTTTATGGGGTAGGAGGGTAGGTGGCAGGGTCAAAATTATTCTAGGCTAGATATCCATGCCTTAATCCTGCTTTCCACTACAACAGCTTTCAGGCCCTTAGAAAGAAAACATTTTTATAGGATTTACATTTACATGATGATTACAAATAACCATCTGTCTGCTTCCACTTTTTCAATCTGGTCCATGTCCCACGAGCCCCCAGCCTGTGGTCAGAGCAGCTAAGCTGGAAGGAAGAAGTGGATGCCCGTCAGGAGGCTTTGGGATAATTGCATTCTTCTCCCACCAGCGCTCAGCTCTCCACCTCCTCCCCCCGGCACGCACAGCGAACATCTGAGATTACAGGGGATGGGAGGGAGGGGAAGGCTATCTTTTTTGCCTTTTTCAGTGAATGATAATGTCTTAAAACACAGCCACATCTGTCGTGCTGACTAGAGGGTATAAAGAGATATCGAGTAAATATTAATGTGCTACTGTAACTTGGGTCCTGGTAGTTTATCTTTCCCCCTCCTATTCTGTTTTGTGCTTATCTCAGGATAATATTATTCTCATATAAATGATTTTACAGTCACATCGGTGGCAGGTTGGTGACCTGCCACATGCAGGTAGGTCTCCCCCTGATCCCCTGAAAATGCACTGCCCCACAGGCATTTTCCTAAATCCTCATCTCTCTGCCACTGCTTTGGCACTTCTCTCCTCCGGTACATACTGATATGCACAATCAACATGAATTATTATGTCAAATAACTGCCCAGATGTCATGCAGTGGACAGATTAAAGGATTATTATACTTTAGGTAGCGTATGGTGCAGGGGGGTATTTTAGAACTTGGCTAACATGTATGATCTACTGAAATGGTCCCTGAGCAAGCTGGCATTACCTGCTGAAATGGGGTGACAGAAAAAAAACAAGGGGTCACAGACAACCTTCCTCATGAAGAATAATAACGCATTTTGAAGACGCTGCTGCCCTACCTCTTTGTTTCAG